GAAGGCTTTTACAAAAGAAAACTGCTGTTAAAAATCAAATCAATCTTTTGTGTATAAAAATGATGAAAATTGGTCGTTACCCTTGACTAGACCAGGTGTACCTTTTAAAAAAAAAAAAAAAACCAGACAATGAAAAGATATATCTAAGCTGACAATTTCGTAAAGTAACCAGGAGGTCCAGGACCCAAAAAGTAACTTCTTTTGGTGCCATTTAGTAATGTTCTCCCTGTTAGTACATTGGTCTAAGCTAATGGAGTACAAATAAATTTGCTTTAATTACATGAATTACGTCGGGAAAATTTTTTAAGGGAAAATTTTTTAAATAAAGTTTGTAAAATTAATAAAAAATTAATAAAAAATATAAATTGATAAATTAATAAAATTTAATATAAAATTAATAATATGTAAAAAATTTATTAAAAATATTATCAATATTTATTTACGATACAAATTTTATTAATATTTTTATTAAAATATAATCAAATTTATTAAATTTTTTCAAAATTTACATGTGTAATGAAAATTTTTAATTTATAATTTTAATTTAATTATTTTTAATAAAAAATTTATGAATTTTATATAAATCTTTCTCTTAAATTGATATTATATTAAAATTTGAGATTTTTTTTATGAAATTAAATATGTTTATGAATCGAATTGAATTATATTTGATAAAAAAATTTTGCTACAACATGCATAATGTTTTAAAAATATGGAGACAAGTCTTTTAAGCATTTGCCACGACATGCATTATTCAATGCATTGAGGCAGGAGGGTCAATTCTTTGGGCACCCACGTTGGCAATATCTGGTTGTATGATTTCTTCTGTTGTTTTTCTATCAAACGACTGGCAATTCAAGAAAAGGCAATGGTTTATTTTATATTTTTTGTGGTAGTTTTTCTGTAATTAATTACTATTTTAGTGAATAAGTTGAAAAAAAAAATGGCAAAAGAAACAAATAAGTTGGAAAAATCTACCCCCACGTGAAATTATCTGAAGACAACTTCAGTGGTACTGCACCACCATGCTAGCAGCTAGCTATGTTGGCCAGATCTTTATCCGAAAACGAAACCCCATAAAAAGAAAAAAAAAAAAAAAGGTTTGGGCATATTAGATGTTAGATAATATTTTATTATTATTGGATTCTTGCTCCTTTTTTATTGTTAAGTTTTTTTTTTTTGAAAGGCAAGTATTACTTAATACTTAATTAAGATAAAAGGCATAAGTTCTGAACTAATGGCTGCAAGAAAATATATATATATATATATAAAAGAATTGAACAACCCTAAGTTGTTCATTTCATGTAAATTAAAAATAGCATTAATAAATTCAAAAATCAACCAAGTTATCATTAAGATTATATTCAGTGGGAAAGAATATATTTACCATTTAAAAAGAAATCAAGAGTTGCTTATTGTACTAATTTCGTTATTTTTTATATTTTTATATAAATGAGATCGTAATTTTTTTAAAATTTTAAATTTATTAAATATTATTTTAAAAATTAATTGTATCAATCAATTGAGATAAAATTACAAGAGGGTGATGATTCTCTTACAACGTTTACATGAAAAACCTAATAACAGCAAAAAAAATGAAGTGAAATTCTGGTGGGGAAAAAGAAAATGAAACTCTTTTTAATAATATTTGACGATTTTCTCCTTTTGGGATTTGAAAATGATAACCGTTGGAGCAGCTGCTTGCCGCATTAAGAATGTTTCTAATGTTCAAAAATAACAATCAATGAGAAAGAAGGAAAATCATCATGCAGTCATCACCACATGTGCAATTCCTGTGATTACAAAAATCTTTAGCCATGAAATTTATGTACTGAATATCACTAACTTAACCAAGGGTCTATGAAACTATAACTTTATCTTTGATTGATGATCAATGCATTGAATATTTAAAGGTTGAATCAAAATTCCAGATCAATGGTGACAGCTGATGTTTGGTTTCGATGGAATTGCCAAATCTGTGGCATTTTGAATGGCCAAATTTGCTTTGGGTATACAGCAGACCGTAATTTAAAAATAAAATATATAAAATATAAATATTGAGATTCAAAATTTATAATTATTCTCTAATTTTAAACCTTAACGGAAATAAATATGACAAGTGGCTAGGTTGAACAGACTAGTTTGAAATTTGGGCAAGTTTTTAGAGACTCCATCTGACCAAAATCATGGAAAATACTTCTGCAACGCATGTGGCAGGAAACTATAACAATGTGAAAAATAAGCATAAAATTATGGGATCCAACAATTGAGTTGAGCAATAATTTCATTTTAAAAATTTGGTACCACTGTTTAACCATTATCAAGCCAATCAGTGGAGACTCTTGAATTTCGACATGAAATGAAAAAGGCAAAGGATGAAGCACTAGTTAAAAAAAGTCTCCGGGCTGTGGTGGTTAGGCCGGTGGGTGGGCAATGAGCGAGAATTTGGGAGTCTTTGAGTTTTTAGAAAGGTTAATATCACGAATAATTTTTAAATTACAATGAATTATTTAATATAATATTTGAATTTCAAAAATCTATAATGTAATATTTGAATTATGAATCTGTTAATTAATATAATATTTAAAAATTATTTATTTACCATATTTCATCATTTGAAGTTAATTACATTAGAGATAAATCGTATTAATTTAAAAATTTTATAATTCAAATATTATAATAAATATTTTATTATAATTTAAGAATTATTCATGTCATTAACTTTTTTAAAAAGTTAAACCTTAGTGTCTAGTGACATAATGTAGTAAGTTGGAGGCAGCAGGCTAGCACAAGGTATTGAAAATGATAAGCAAAGTGGTGGAAATGAAGTGGAAATGTCGAATTTTGAATTGACAAAACGCTTTATCTGATTCCATTTTCTTCCCAAGCTTGAAATTTTATTGGCACCCCCACTTCCTTTTTTTGATAATTTGCATCGCAAATATCAGGATTCTCTAGTCATTTAAGACAAGCAGGAAATGAGATGGAAGCCCTATACGAAAATGCACACCTTGCTTTTTAGTTTCTTAGGCTCCCTAGGGATTTACATGTAACACTAAACCTTCGTTTAGATGAAAAAAAAAAAAGTGTGGAGAAATGAAGGGCACTACGAGCACTACGAGACTGCAACATTGTAATTTTCTCTGCTATGGGTCAGTATCACATCTTTTCTTTTCCAAATTGAATCTAAATCCATGGTGATTCTGACTGTTAGAGTCGATGGTGTTTCCTTCCCTTCAGTTTGGATGGCCAAAATTTTCCAAGGTTACTCTGGCTTGTCACGTCTTCAGTCTTCTTCTGTAGCGGGAGGTTAGGGCCAGTGGTCAGAGTAATGAAATGATGAACTGATACTACCGAGTACCGATGGATTTGGCCCAATCCGGAGTAAGTTTTACTTGAATTACTGGAAACTCGGCAGATAGTAGTAGGGAAGGATGGTTGGATGGGCCCTAAGTACAAAGGATTAGAGAATATACATACATACATATATATATATATATATATCTCATCCTTTTATTATTGGTGATGAAATATTAAGGGGGTATTGCAATGTTCAATCAATACTTCAATTTCAACATCTTCAATGGGGAAAAAGGAAAAAAAAAATCCAAAACAATCACAATTTCCTTCCAGCTCTGTTCACTATAACTTCCCAACCACCCTTTCGAACCCTATTGTTTCTTTGCTTCACAAATTCAAATGCCACTCCCTATAGCACAGAATCCAATCAACAGAGTCTCGGAAGAAGGTAAGCCCTACCCTAGGTATATCAGAGTTAATACTTAATTGAGCATAACTCATGCCAAAAATCACCACGGATAAAAGGCCATTTAACTTAGTTTGACAGTGAAGCACTGGCTTTAAAGTTAGGCATTGGCCTGGCCAAGAATATGAATTTCAAGAAAGCTGTAGCGGAGCCAGATTCTGAAATTCTATGCAACGAGTTTCATGGTGATAGACAATAGTGTTTATTGGAAAGTGGAACCTGTTCTCAAGTTTATCAGGGCTTGCAGGCATTATTTTGAAGACCTTAAGATTAGTTGGGTCCGTAGGAAAACCAATATGGTTGCTGATTGGGTGAAAAACCAATTTAAACAGGGAAAGTGCCTCTCTAATTGGGTGTTAGTACCTCAATCTTCCCTGGAGTGCATACTAAGCAGGAATGGCTTGCCTGCTCCCAGTAAGGGATGGTTGTTGTAGCCTTAGGTTCATGAGTTGCTATGTTTGCTCTCTTTTTCCTTGAGGGCCTTTGTACTGGGATGGTTTTGATTCTAGTTAATATCGCTAACACTCTTATTTTCTGGCCAAGAAAAAACTTAACCTCATAGAGAAAGAAACTGATATAATCACATCCACATCAATTCAGAATATATATCTAACCCAAGAACAGATTTCTCTAGCATTCAAGCCCAATCTTTGACAATCAATACTTAATGTCAAAGTTCCACTCAAGAAGTCCATCTTGTGGCTCTTCAGGCATCTCAATTCACAAGAACCATGCCATTACAAGGACTTTGAAGGGGCAAAGAAAGATGACCACTCGGCACACACCAAAGTTCATAAATTATTGACATGCATTTCATTTTCATGGTCATCTTTGAATTTCACATCACAGATCTATTTTCCCACAAAATTCCTGAGATGCAACTTAAACCATTTAAACAACATACAAAAAACATTAAGATGGTTGATGTACCTAATCAACAATGAAAATATCCTTATTCTAACCGATATGAAACTCCACTAGATATCCATTTCCTCTGAGATCTTTTCAAACCAATTTCTTCACAAATATCCGAATTGACCTTTACACATCTAGAACACACTCCGTATGGAAAATAAAAATGTCAAGGAACAGCAAAGGGACACAAATAGAATCATTCTGGTATTTCGCAATCTCAAGACGCTCATTTTCCTCAGAATTATAAGCATTCAACCAGACAAAAACACAACAGAGAAGGAGAAAGAGAGGCAAGAAAATCAGAAGAGCACCGTGGAGGTTACGGAATAGAATTTTATAAACACCAACATAATAATTAGGTAATTGACAACCAAATGAGCCAAGTCAAATTGAATTAAAACTAATAATTAAGCAATCCAAACTAGAGTAGTTACAACCTAAATCAAATGAAGGTTCCAACAAGTACCCAATTAAAGATGGCGCATTTCCTCCATGAATCACCTCCAAAGTTGCTAACTTTTTCTCTTTAGAAACTGTGCTTCAATCCAAGCCCATGCTTGCCATGAACACACCCAGGCTTCACATACAAAAATGGTGACTTTTTTGAAGTGTGCATCTTGGCAAATGCCCTCTTCCCTAATTTCCTCATCCTTTGCCTTCCAAACTTCCCTCTCATTTCACGTGGCACCAACTCATCATCCAAATCATACCCATCAGCGTCATCCTCATTATCATCATAATCATCACCATCATCCTCTTCCTGATCACCTATGTATGGCTCACCATACCCATCACGGAGTGGCTCATAATCGAGGTGATGTTGATGATGATGATCATCATCATAATCTTGAATCAGGTCAGGAATCGGGCTGTCCTTTGGGGAGGAAGAAAGGGAAGAGTGCCAAGAAGCATCAGAGAGAGAGAGGACATCATCAGCATCAGAATCAGAGGAGTTAATGAATTCCCAATTTGAAATATCATTTTCGTCTTCTTCTTCTTCTGTGAAGAAAATTTTTTCTGGGTCTTCCTTCGTGGTAGGGAAAACAACAACCTCAGATTTGGTTTGCTTCTCCATTTTCCCTCTCTTCTTTTCTCTTTCTTTTTCAGTCGGTTTTTTTTACAGTTTTTTGCGGTTGCAGTTTGATTTTATTTTTCGATATTTTATGTAATATGGCACGACTCTCTCAAAGTTTCTCAAGCAATCCTGAGATACACGTTGCGGATCACGTGTCAATGTTTTTATCTAGTAGTCCACGTCTTTTCAACCAATAGATGCCTGCCACGTGGTAAACATTTAACTTTCCTTTCCTCCGCCCCAAAGTTTCTCTTTCTTTCCCCTTTCACCTTTTTTTTAATCCAAAATGGAAACTTTCGGTCCTTTTCTCCTCCTTTTTGTTCTCCTCGCGAGTGTGCAAGGGTTTTTTGGGGGTTAAAATGGGTAAGGGTTCAAACAACTAGGCCTAATATAATGGGCATGATAAAAAATATTTTAAGAAAATATCAATGGTTTGAAATAATGAACAGAAGAATGCATGATAAAATTTGAATTTAAATATGTTAAATATAAATTATTAATAATGATTATATAATTCAATTAAATTAAATTTTAAATTATGTATATTTCACTCTTTTTCTTTTTTTAACCGAAGGATAATTTTTTTTATTAAACAATAAAAGGATTGAATTTTATCTAAACCAATTTAAATAAATTTATTTATTTCAGACTTAATAATTTATTATTATTATTATAAATCAAAAGTATTAAAAATTAAGTTTCAAAAAATACAACCAACCAAATCCTAGTCTTTTATTTTTAATATATAAATCTGGTTCGGTTAACAATTTTAAAATAGTGCTATTTCTTCTATCTAAAACTAAAACTATATTTGGTAATTTGGCAAACTGAGTAATGTTTATAATAAGAAGTTGGCAATATCATAAAATTATTTGTACCAATAACTTTGGAGGATATGTTATAGCCTGGAAGTAATAGCTAGCAATAAAAAAACTTTTCTCCCATTTTCACCAAGACACGTATGTTTAAAGTAACCGAGTGAAGTACCAAAGCCATACCCGATACCTTCTTTCGCAGAGAACCTAAACAGGAAACACTGCTGGGGAAAAGTAACAGAAAAAAGGCAGCGCACAACATGTACAAAAAGCTTCAGGTATTAATAGGAAACGTCGTTTTGCTGCCAACCAATGGAAAATCACAGGATGTAAAGCAATTTTGCCAGACGACATCTGCATATGTTGACATGTAAAAGTCCTACCTATGACCATTATATATTTTAAACAAGGGCCCTCTTGACTATTCTTGCCCAAGAAAGAATAACACCAATAGCCACAATCAAAATTCCCAAATTGTTTATTACATCTGGATATCATAATGAAAACAAAAAGGCTAATAAAAAAGTATATGGTGTAAACAATTTAATTTGATATCAAATTTTCTTCAGCATTTCTTACCTTTTACCTGCAGATAAGAATCAATCAACATGATTGGCTCTGCTGCTCAGCGGATAAGTAAGAGGAAGTCTGAAACAAGCCTGAATTTAAGCAGCTCAATCATCGAATTTGTGAAGCAGAACAGAGCAATCCTGAAGCATCTGCCCCAACAACAGCGAGATCACAGACGGCACACAGTTGTCCTTCCTGGTTAGGCACAAAGCGAGCGGTACAATATGGGCAAGATATATCCTTCTGTCCTCGGTAAATTGGTACATAAGTTGCCCCGCATGTCACAAATGGGTTCCTGAAATCATAATTCAACTGAGATGCATCTGCCATATTCCTCTCTGCAGCCTGCAGTACTTGCCTGGCTGTCCTTGAATGGCTCTCATTTGTGGGGTTTGTTTCTATTAGACGGCGGGCAAAGTTAGCTGCTGTAGCCAGATTCCTTGCCTTGTAGCAGACGGTCATTGCATTCAGCAGAGCAAGTCTGAGGTGAGGCAATTGAAGGTTGCAGTGGGTGAAGTAGGCAGCAAGCTCCTGCTGGCGTACTGGATTGTCTCTCATTTCTCTTCGCTCCAGCTCCATCTGCAGACCTAGAACATACTCCTTAGCAATAATAATCAACTCCTTGACTTCATCAACTTCTCTCCTTGACTCCACAACAATCAAGGGAATTGTATGAAGAATGCTGAGGAAGAGCCGAAGAGCCTCAGTAAATTTTCCAGCTGTTGTGGCCTTGTAACCAGCCTTCAGCTTTTCATCCAACTGAGAAAAATTGAACACAAGGGCTGGTGGACCCCTCACATTAGGACTAGCAGACTCACTCCATCCCCTCTCAATGGCCAAGGACATCACTGGCACTGATGAAAATGCATGAAGATAGCTATGGCTGCCAGCGTGCAGATCAAGAAACATGGATTTCAAAGGAGTAAAGTTTCTTATGCCAAGTTGCCTGCTCAACAACCGCATTGCTGTATCAAAATTGCCTGCTGCAGCATGATCAGCAGCAAGAGATGATCTTTGAATCCAAATTTGACTCACAGGCATACCGGGAGTCGGTGCCACAAAAACAAAAGAACGAGCATTGACAGAAACCCTTGGTGTCTCTACTTCAGGGGGAAGTTCCAAGTCATCAAGGTCCCATCCACCCTCCTCTTCGTTTTCTTCAGCCACTTCCCCATCTTCCAAAATTGTAGTAACATCCCCATTCTGTAAGCCATCAACATCGACCATGTCAAGATCTTCACCCCAATCACCTTCCACACCCTCCTCCTCGTCATCCACAGCACCCCTGCCAATACCATCCAATCCACCTTCAAATATGCCTTTCATGACTCTCAAAAGGGGCCAATCACCCCCGCACATAACGGGGGCAGGTGGCATCAATAGGGAAGGTTCTTTCCCCTCCGGCAAATGAGGGACATCACCTCCCAACTCAGCTGCTAACCTTTCAGCCACATCCTGTAGCCCATGAATGGATGCTGTGACATAAGCAAGAGGCAAGTGACCAGCATTCTCCAAGATTTTAACACGTTCCTGGATATCACCAAGATACAAAGCATTGTGAAACTGGCCCATAACATCGTTCTTAACTTCCGCAATTTTCAGCATCTTGGACAGCTTTTCCAGGTTACCATTTATGAGATAAAGAAAAGACAACCTCTCAAAGTTCTTTGTCCTCTGGTAGGCATATTCCACTATACCTGCATTGCCTTGGCGAAGGGCCTCCACACCCAACCTATACCAGTGATCCTTGTCATCAATCTCCTTAGCTGATGCAACAGCAATTTGAATGTTCCCACTCTCTAGAGCCAAATTAAAGCGTGTTTTCTCATCTTTGACAAAATGGAGAGCCACTTCAGGAAACCCCTTCTGTTGCAGATAAGCAATCATGGCCTCACCACAAAGCTGGGAGTTTCTTATCATATTCATAACCTGATCATATCTCTTTCGAAGCAGAGAGAGCTTGAAAATGTATTCTGTAGCATCAACGACTATAGTCTTATTCTTCCCATCACGATCCAGGCAAAATATAGCATTGCCTGAAACCTTAGTTATATATATTGGAACCTCAAGCGTTCGAATGATTCCACTATCTCCATTAGGAAGGCAGTATTTTATATGGTTTAAGGTGGCATAAATAAAAACACCATTGTCATCCCAGGCTCCACTCTTAACGCGTATTGTCTCATGAAGAGTGCACTGGTGCACAAGCTTCTTGTTAGCAATGACAATGGAATGCTTGCTGAGAAGAGCAACACTCTCCATGTCATTAGACCAAACAACATATTTCACAAAAGGCGTTTGCAGATCACCAAGAACGAGCCTCTGCTGGAGATCAAATATAACTACTCTATCCTCTGATCTACACAACAAGCTGCCTGTTCCAGCATAAAATATTGCATCCGTAGGCACTGGGAGGCCACTCTTTTTAACCACCTCATTTTTTAGATTCTTGATTAAGACTTGGTTGTTGCCTTTGTCAAGCACAGCAAACCGGTTCCGAGCCACAAATATAGCAGAACTACCAGGGCCTCTCTTTGCATCCTGCAAACTGTCACCCCTACCAATGCTGTCTTTTGGTATCACATACAACTCATAAGATCCTCCATCCACATCTGAGCAGATAAGAACAGCATTTTCGGTAGGACTGTAAGAAAGAGTCCTTGGACTTTGATTCAGACTTGTGGAACCAGGCCGCCGAATTGGCATTACTTGTGTCTCTCTTTGAGTTGAAAAGTCATAATACTTTAAAAACCGATCCTTGGTATAAAACAGAGAATCCCCACTCACTGCAAAAGCAGGTCGTTCTCTCTCTAGCTTGAACACAATCATGCCACTGTCATGTCCAGCCGCCAAAAGATTCATCTCAGGATGAGCAGCGAGAATCCAGAATCTGTCCTGTTCTCGACGGAAAGTTTGAAGTCCAGTTCGCTTTGTTGCATCCCACACACGAATACTTTTATCCTCCGAATTAGACACAATGATGTCTTGTTTGGCATGGAACATAACACATGAAACATTATTCATGTGTCCTCTCAAGGTATCCACTTCCCAAGCCTTTGTATCTGCAAATAAATAAACAATTTACTCAATCACATAACAATTCAGGAGTCTAAATTCCCTGCTGCACAAAAACTTCATCCAACTACTTTAGTAGGTTGTATATACACAGTTACGGTCATAAAATAAAATGGAGAAGTTTAGTAACTTGGCTCAAATATCAAGGGCTATGTAGCATAAATCAAACTTAAAGAAGAAAAAACATTGTAAGTCTTTATGAAGATTTTAATTGCAAAATAAGTGTACTAAAAAAAAGCTTTAATCAATATCCCTAGCAAATAAAATATGCATGGTGAAGAAGGCACATTTTTCCTATAATTACCATTCATACGCCACAATTTCACTTGGCGATCATCTGCTCCAGAAACTATCAAAGGTAAGGTGGGATGAAATGCAGCCCAATTTACTCCTCGATCATGACCTTCCAGTACATACTTAACAACTGCATCAACACCACCGAAAAGATCTGTGTTCATCTGACTTAACCGTAAAATGTCATCTGCTGGGGAGGCAGTCTTCTTTTTCAAAGAACCAATATCCCAAACTCGAACAGTCTGATCAAGGGAGGCGGACACAACAAGGTCTTCTTTAGGATGGAATGCGGCACACATAACATAGTGATTATGACCAGTTAAAACAGATATGCA